GGGAGTGTTAAGTGGGGAGTGTTAAGTGGGGAGTGTTAAGTGGGGAGTGTTAAGTGGGAAGTGTTAAGTGGGGAGTGTTAAGTGGGGATTGTTAAGTGAGGATTGTTAAGTGGGAGGTGTTAAGTGGGGAGTGTTAAGTGGGGAGTGTTAAGTCGGGAGTGTTAAGTGGGGAGTGTTAAGTGGGGAGTGTTAAGTCGGGAGTGTTAAGTGGGGAGTGTTAAGTGGAGAGTGTTAAGTGGAGAGTGTTAAGTGGGGAGTGTTAAGTGGGGAGTGTTAAGTGGGGAGTGTTAAGTGGGGAGTGTTAAGTGGGGAGTGTTAAGTGGGGAGTGTTAAGTGGGGAGTGTTAAGTGGAGAGTGTTAAGTGGAGAGTGTTAAGTGGGGAGTGTTAAGTGGGGAGTGTTAAGTGGGGAGTGTTAAGTGGGGAGTGTTAAGTGGGGAGTGTTAAGTGGGGAGTGTTAAGTGGGGAGTGTTAAGTGGGGAGTGTTAAGTGGGGAGTGTTAAGTGGGGAGTGTTAAGTGGGGAGTGTTAAGTGGGGAGTGTTAAGTGGGGAGTGTTAAGTGAGGAGTGTTAAGTGGGAGGTGTTAAGTGGGAGGTGTTAAGTGGGAGGTGTTAAGTGGGAGGTGTTAAGTGGGAGGTGTTAAGTGGGGAGTGTTAAGTGGGGAGTGTTAAGTGGGGAGTGTTAAGTGGGAGGTGTTAAGTGGGAGGTGTTAAGTGGGGAGTGTTAAGTGGGGAGTGTTAAGTGGGGAGTGTTAAGTGGGGAGTGTTAAGTGGGGAGTGTTAAGTGGGGAGTGTTAAGTGGGGAGTGTTAAGTGGGGAGTGTTAAGTGGGGAGTGTTAAGTGGGGAGTGTTAAGTGGGGAGTGTTAAGTGGGGAGTGTTAAGTGGGGAGTGTTAAGTGGGGAGTGTTAAGTGGGGAGTGTTAAGTGGGGAGTGTTAAGTGGGGAGTGTTAAGTGGGGAGTGTTAAGTGGGGAGTGTTAAGTGGGAGGTGTTAAGTGGGGAGTGTTAAGTGGGGAGTGTTAAGTGGGAGGTGTTAAGTGGGAGGTGTTAAGTGGGGAGTGTTAAGTGGGGAGTGTTAAGTGGGGAGTGTTAAGTGGGGAGTGTTAAGTGGGGAGTGTTAAGTGGGGAGTGTTAAGTGGGGAGTGTTAAGTGGGGAGTGTTAAGTTAGGAGTGTTAAGTTAGAAGTGTTAAGTGAGGAGTGTTAAGTGAGGAGTGTTAAGTGAGGAGTGATAAGTGGGGAGTGTTAAGTGGGGAGTGTTAAGTCAGTGTTCAGTTAATGTTGAGTTAATGTTATGTTACGGTTAAGTTAATGTTGTGATTGTTAATTCTCTGTTTTGTTTGTTTAAATTTTTTATGTCACTTTTAAATCGTCGTTAGTTATGTTAAAATTATTTATTTTTTTTATATAATTTATGTAAACTTGTTCATTTTGTTATTGGATGCAATATTTATATGTTTTCTTATACAATTTTTAAATTTTCAGAAAGCCTTTGAATTATGTCATATATAAGACTACATTTTTGATGAAATCTTATTTTTTATTTTTTCTGTATGTACAAATATTTATATTTATAATAATTTTCAGAATTTTTATGGATGTCTTTTCAGCACCAGGGAAAAAAAGAATAGATGAAGTGAAGAAATCTCAGTTGATCTACAAATGAAAGGATGTTTATTGATAATACATTAATTACAAAATTTTAATTAAGTTTTTTGATCTCTATAAGTAAATTTAAATGTTTTGTTGTACTAAAATTTTTTTTTGCAAGTTGTTAAGTACTCTTGTTAACTATTGTGAATAAATATTTTAAAACCATGTGTTTCTATTTTATTTAGATGTAACCCGTTAAATGCGTACAAAATATTTTTAATAAAGTATGGAATACCTGGGCTGAAAGTCCGGGAGGTAAGATGTGCCGATATGAATATCTAGAAATCCAATAAAAAAATTTGAAAATTGGAAGCAAGAGAAGTACTGTTTTGTACCTGCGTATTTTTGGCCAGCAGTTTTTATTTGTACATTATTAAAAGTGGTTCTAAAATCTAGAAATCCTATGATTGTTCACAAAAAACTTTAAATGTTTATAACAAATGATTAACATGTAACAGTAAATCATATATTGGCAATAGTTATTTTATTTCTTGCGTGTAAAATTACTTGCTTTAAGTTAGAAAACTAAAAAAATCTGAGCAGCACAACCATTCCCGGTGTCGGCACGACTCTCCTCAGGACAGAGGGTTTGACGTGCAGCGTCGCTTCGCTGAATAAAATCGATTTTCACAAAAAAAACTATTAAATATTATCAAAAAAAATAATAATGGATTTATCAACTACATCAAATTTTATAATATATAGGCATGTTAATATCTTGTCAAAAAGGGGCACGTTCAACCCCGGTATTCCCTACAACACACTTTTAGACTAAAAATGTTTAAAATTTTAAATAAAACTAAACTGAATTTCTAATAAAAATATCTGAAGTTTCAAACAAAAATGTATCAAATTTTAAATACAGGTGTATGTCAGTCAGAAATTGTAGGTTAAATATTAAAAAATGTGTTGTAATTTTTGTATTGTATATGATAATTACTTTAAAAACACTTTTCTATAAATTTTTTTTTATTTTCTAAAAACTAATAAAATTCTAAAAGAAATGGCATTTTTACAAAGAGAATATATTAATTTTTCAATTAGTTCTCGGAAAAAAATATTAAAAAATCAAGTAAATAGATAATCTTAATAAATATAAATTTTGAATAAAAAAAAAAATTTCAAAATTTTTTTCTTATAAAAAAATTAATGTAATATTTTTAAATTTTTTGGCAAAAAAACAATTGTATATAATTATTATTTAAAAAAAATATATATCTGACCTTAACCTGCAATCTGTACTTTATATGGGAATATCTCCAGGTAACATGTGATTTAAAAAATTTCAAACACTCCCGAATACACGTTTAAATTAAGGAACAAAATATTTTATTGTACATTTAAACGATCGCAATTTTAAAAATTTCAAACCCTTCCGGAACAAACTTAAAATGTAAAAATAAAATTAACACACAAATGTCGAGAACTTCCGAATCTATTGACTTTAAATATAAAAATTTTAAATAAAATTATAAATTTCTCACTAAAAGTGACCACGTCCAAACGGATCAATGCTTGATTTGCAACTGATTTTATTATCTTTAGGTTTGTTTATTTACATCATTATAACTTCGGTTTATGATACCCCTTTGTACTATATATAAATATACAGCTCGCATTGCAGGTATAAGGGTAATAAAATTCTAAATTCGTTTCGTCACATTTTAAATACTTTTTGAAAATTATAATTTTTAAAATATTATTTCATTGATAGAATTGTATTTAGTATTCTTAAAAAATAAAAAGTAAAGATTTTACTCTCTAAATTTGAATCAGCGATAAGTATACCACTATTACCAATTAGCGTATATATGCTGAAAAATCAGTGAATTTTCACTAATTTATCACTGCATATACGCTGATTGGAATCAGTGGTATACTTATAGCTGAGAATCAGCGAGATTTCGCTGATTCAAATTTAGAGAGTATGAAATATTATTAATCCCTTCACTGTTAAGAAAAAATTGACACTGTGGGCTAAAAAATTCTGGTTGACTTATTATGAAAGTTAGCTCGAAAGTTAGTATATAAGAGTAAAATATTACCTAAAAAAATCCAAAATGGCGGATCAAAAATGGCAGCCATAAAAGAATCGAGCACACCCGAAGTTATTCACTGTAAATAGAAAAATTGTTTAAAAACACAAAATGGAAGATGTCAATACACTCTATTTAGCACAGAAAAGAATATTTTTTTCAAAATTATTATAAAATTCACATTTAAAGTGACCACGTCTGAACAGGTCAATGCTATGGAATTGCAACTGATTAGGCTAGTCTGTTTACATTATTATAACCTTCGGTTTATGACACCCCTTTGTATAAGGGTAATAATATTTCAAATTCGTTACGTCAAATTGTAAATAGTGGGGAAAGTTCTAAACGTGATAATGGAAATTAAAAAATTTATTTCGTCATTTTTTTCCATCAATTTCATTTTTTATTTATATTAAATTTAAATTTCTGTCTACAAAATTAATATCGTTTGCCCCTATATATATATATATATATATATATATATATATATATTGCATCCTAAATATCAATCCAAATGATAATTAATTTCGACGATATATAAATGTGACAAATTCTCCCCAACAACTTTATTATTCTACATCTCATAATTTAATTCGTGAGTTTATTACTAGCGGAAGAATAATAATTATAATTATTTAGAATCGATAAATATTTATTCGATTATGTCTGGCACGAATGAATATTCATATATTCAATGAAATATTCTATTGTTAAAAAGGAGTATGCTTTATATATTCTATAGTCGTTAATAGAAATAAACGAAGGGTTGGCTTTAGACGAAATGGCGCCCGGGGCAAGTGTGCAGAATAAGCGCATACCCTTTTATATATGGGATCCTTGAAAATAAATTTTTTTAAATATTTTTTCTCTCTATAAATATGAATTGTTAATGAATTTGGCGCGAATTTTTAAAACTGACTAATAAAAAAATATGTAAAGAAAATTGTACGTACGTACTTCCGGAAGTACGTAGCTTTTTTTGACATTATAATTTTTTTTTATTTTAAACTCATATTATGAAAACACAGAAAATTAAAAGGAATTAAAATAAGCTGCAACGCTTATTATTTTCATACAATTTTGCTTATTTTAATACCAAAATGGATTAAAATAAGCAAAATTGGATTAAAATAATAAGCGTTGCAGCTTATTTTAATGCCTTTTAATTTTCTGTGAAAATATTTATCTCTAAAATTCTGATTTTTTTTCAAGTACCATTTTTACAAAAATTAACATGTTTCAAAAAATCCTACGTACTTCCAAGTTAAATTTGAAAATTTATCATAAATTCCAAAAAACTTTGGATTTTTGTTCCAGCTAATATCATCCAGCCACAATCATGCGCATCAAGGAGAGCGGGACAAACAACGATATTGTCAAAATATAGTAGACATTTATGAATGAAATAAAATTCTTGTAAGTTTGTTTTGCTTATTTCTTATTCTAAATTTATATTTATCTTTTATTTTTAAACTATTTGTCGCTTTTTAAACTAAATTAGAGGATTCTTTCCAATAATTATTTAGTTTCGTAGCTTTTATTAATTAACCTTTCAAAATTCTTTTACTTGTTTAAACAATTGATTGTGTATCGTTTCAAAGAATTTGATGCTAAAGATAATAATAATAATAATAATAATAAATAAAAGAATTAAATGTTTTTACTTAAATTTTCAAAATAAACCATTAATCTAATTATGCGGGATGCATAGTCGAATTTATAAAGGTCTCTATTATACAATATACGTTATATATATATATATTTATTTGGGTATATTTATATCTGTTCTAAAGGATTGAGTATAATTAATTTTTCTGCGTGAAATCTCGCGTACTTGGAAGATATAGAAAATACAAGGTTTATGCGGGAGAGCTGATGTATGGCTGGTTGAGTCGGTGCCCCTTTTATCTGGCCGCAACAGAAAGAGACAAGGTCTTTGAGAGACCAAGTCTTGATTCAAAACAGGGTTCCCTTTTCTTTCATAAAATTTACTGCGGCGAATATAATGAAATTGAAATGTATATGAAATTTTTCCTTAAAATCATCATCGCGCCATGTTTATAAGGTTTTTTGGATTTTACATTTGAAAGCAATTTTATATAAATAAATAATTAAAAACTAACAAGAAATTTACTAAACAACGTAGCAATTATTGTTACTAAGCCGTCACAGAAAATTAAAAGGCATTAAATTAAGCTGCAACGCTTATTATTTTAATCCAATTTTGCTTATTTTAATCCATTTTGGTATTAAAATAAGCAAAATTGGATTAAAATTATAAGCGTTGCAGCTTATTTTAATACATACCTTATAACTTTCTGTGGTGCTCTGCGTTTAGTACCTTTTACATATGACGCCATCTGTAGGGGAAAAAAATTAACACGCCAAATTCAAATTAATAGCAGAAAAGAAAAGTGACTATTTTTACTAAAAAAAAAAATCGAAATTTTTTTCACTTATATTGTTATCGATGTGATTTTTCAGAAAAACGTGATGAACATAATTCAAAATGACAGAAATAAAATAAATGATTATAGAAGGTGAAATTTTTGAATTACTGAAATAAACATTTTATATGGAAACGTGGAGAAATTCAAAAATTAGTTCTACCTTAAGTGCGTCTATATTCGGTATATATATATATGTATGTATAGTGGTTAACAATGGAAATGAACTCGATTCTCAAATAACCTCACGCAAGAGTTGCACACACGATAGCATTCCAACATTGTTGAATTCAAATGCGAGCAAAGGACTACGCATTCCACATTTCGAATCGAACGGCCAATTTTCGATTGTCGGATATGTAAAGACCCTCCACAATGTAACAGACTAGCCGTATAAGCGAGAGGGTTATGTATGCAATAAATAGCAAATCTTTCATTTTCATTTTTGATTCTCTGCATATTTTATTAATTCTTAAAAATTTTTTAAGAAATATATAAAAGAAAGTATTAATTGTAATTTTATTTTTGTCAAAATAGTAAAATATTTCTTATCTGTGATATAAATTATATGTATGACTTCCATTAAGTTAAATCAAATTTAATTAAACTATTTATAATATATTAATTTCAAAATTTGAATAAAGATTATACTGACATTAAAAATGATTTGAGGTCAATTTAATATACATAATAGTATAATTATTATCATATATATATATATATATATATATATATATATATATATATATATATATATATATATAAGAAATATCGAGTTTTACCGATTAGATTATAAATACAAATATATGTAATATTTAAAGAAGTATATATATAATAAAATATTAATGTCTCTTGGAGAAATTTAAAACAATATTATTAATTCGCTTTGTTGAAATCCAATAATGGTTAATTAATATTTTTGTCTTTTAAAATTTTTTTAAAGTTTATTTCCATTTTTTTTAATTCAATTTATTTTGAAATTATTAATTTAAAAAATTAATTAAAATAAAATAAAAATTTATTAGACTATCTCAAATCATCGTTTAATTATCAATTAAATAATTTTTTCAATTTATGATATGCACAGAAAAAAAATTATTTGATTTAAATAATTATTAATACTAAACTGAACAACTGGGGTACAAAAATACCCCAGAGAAAATTCAAAGTACGGCTCTGTAATCTTTAACTGTCATGGCGACAACCTGACCTTAATTCAATTTGCAGAATGAAATCTCTATAATCGTAAATTTTAAGCTTTTACATGAGAGAAAAAAGAACAAAAGTTATTTCTATCCTTTTCTCTCTCATGTAAAAGCTTAAGATTTACGATTAGAGATTTCATTCTGCTTAGGCCTTATCGAACTATCAATTTTGACCCTAGTTTACTTTTATAATAACTGGTGATAATTAATTAAAAATCGTTTGGGATTGTTTTCTACCCCAGTTGTACTTTTACGTATGAGACAGCCACGTTGTACTGTCCAGGGTTTATATTTAATATATTATAAATTATTTAATTAATTTTGAACATAGTATGAATATATTTGAATCAAATAATTAATTAAAACAAATATTTAATTGACTTAAATAATTATTTGATACAAATAAATATTCACTTAATAAGAGACAAGTAATTGATTCTTTAAATCAAATAAATTTTTATTTTTCAGTGGTTAATTTTGCAATTTGTTTTTTAATATATGAAAAAATAAATGTTCTTTTCTCATGTATGTTTCTATATATAGTATACAACGTCCGGCGCAAATAGTTTTATAAAAGTCGTTTAGAGAATCAACTATTAGAGTGGTTATTTCTTTTAACTTTTATTCCAAGCACGAACACATTTTATACTTTCAGTTTCTCGATTTAACTGCTCGTTATCACGACCCTACGATAACGTGCACTGTTAGTATATATATATATACATGTATATAGGCTGTGTGCGCATCTTTGAATTGGCTTCAGAGCCAACTTCAGTGCGTATATTGTATACGAATACAGCAGAGGACTTGACTTAACAGGCTTGAACGTCTTCTTGGATATACTCGGATACGAATCTGGTCGTAAACTTAATCGCACTTTGAGAGCTGCGGTGCCTATCTCCGCGCCAATTTCACTTTCAAAGCTCTTTTGCAAAAATCAAAACTTTTCTCGAATAACAGAGAATTCGAAACACAATTATTGAGATCCGTGAGAAAGTTTTTATTTTATGAGCCACTGAAGTTTAAGTTTAACACTATTTAACTTTTCTATTTGAATTTTTATTTTGAGAATTATTACTGATTTTTTTAACCTCTTCGCCGAACTGGAGATTTTTTATACGCTCGGTCGACGAAAACTCACACAAAAATGTTTTCTTTCTTTGATAATTTGCAATAAAAACTTGGAATCATCCACTTTGCTACTGCAATTGTTATATGTTACCAAATAATATATTTTATTAATGTTTTGTTGATTAATTATTTGTTTAAATAGGGGGAAAAAATCTTTTGGTCAAATTTTTTTAAACTTTGTAGTTTTGTAGCTTATTACCTGCTGAACAAAAAATGTTAATAGCAAAAACTCCAAAAACGAAGTCCTTCTGAGATGTACTACGTTGAAAGCAAACAAAAATAGGAAAAAAAACTATAAGTCCCCCTGGCTCAAGGGTTGGCTTTGGTTCAAGCGCTTGAGCCAAACACGACCTTTGGGCCAAACGCCAGCCTGGAGCCTAACACTAACCTTCATCCAAACACAAGTCCTCATCCAAAGCCAAGCCTCGGGCCACATCCAAGAATTGAGCCAAATTCAAACCTTGAGCCACAGCCAAGCCTTCAGCCAAACACAAGTCCTGAGCCAAAGCCTAGTCCAAGTTTTCAGCCAAGCCTCGGGTCGCAGCCAAGAATTGAGCCAAATTCAAAACTTAAAGTCACAGCCAAGCCTTCAGCCAAACACAAGTACTAAGCCAAACACAAGTCCTAAGCCAAACACAAGTCCTAAGCCAAGTCCAAGTCCTAAGCCAAGTCCAAGTCCTAAGCCAAGTCCAAGTCTTCAGCCAAGCCTCGGGTCGCAGCCAAGAATTGAGCCAAATTCAAAACTTAAAGTCACAGACAAGCCTTCAGCCAAACACAAGTCCTAAGCCAAACACAAGTCCTAAGCCAAGTCCTGAGCCAAAGCCAAGTCCAAGTCTTCAGCCAAGCCTCGGGTCGCAGCCAAGAATTGAGCCAAATTCAAAACTTAGAGTCACAGCCAAGCCTTCAGCCAAACACAAGTCCTAAGCCAAACACAAGTCCTAAGCCAAGTCCAAGTCCTAAGCCAAGTCCAAGTCTTCAGCCAAGCCTCGGGTCGCAGCCAAGAATTCAGCCAAATTCAAAACTTGAGTCACAGCCAAGCCTTCAGCCAAACACAAGTCCTAAGCCAAGTCCAAGTCTTCAGCGAAGCCTCGGGTCGCAGCCAAGAATTGAGCCAAATTCAAACCTTGAGTCACAGCCAAGCCTTCAGCCAAACACAAGTCCTGAGCCAAAGCCAAGTCTTCAGCCAAGCCTCGTGTCGCAGCCAAGAATTGAGCCAAATTCAAAACTTAGTCACAGCCAAGCCTTCAGCTAACCACAAGTCCTAAACCAAAGCCAAACACAAGTCATGAGCCAAACACAAGTCCTAAGCCAAATCCAAGTCTTCAGCCGAGCCTCGGGTCGCAGCCAAGGATTGAGCCATACTCAAACGTTGAGCCATAACCAAGCCTTAAGCCAAAGCCAAGCCTTAAGCCAAAGCCAAGCCTTAAGCCAAAGCCAGGCCTTGAGCGACTTAGTCTTTTTTCTCCTAGTTTGTATGCATTTAACGTAGTGCAGCTCAGAAGGGCTTTATTTTTGGAGGTTTTTTTATGTACATTTCTTGTTCAAGAGGTGAAAAACTGTGTTACCTTTTATTTCGAAGTTATTAATTTAAAGGTTATAAAAAAATAAAATATATAACTAAATTTGCAACAACTATTATTATTAATTGTTTAAACTAATAATTGTTACTATTTCTTAACATTTTTCATAATAATCCTAGATAGCTGCAATTTTTTTCTAATTTTGCAACTTAACAAGCACAATATAATAGCATAAAGATTTTATATGAATTTACTATTTAACCAATTGTTTAAATAATTAAAAAATTAATCTGACGATATAGATTATTTAATTTTCAAACGATTGAACAATCAATAGTGTTATGGTAGAGATCGTTAGAAAGCTCCTGACTATTTGCCAACACAAAACACCTACGAGTAAAAAGTCTGGATGATTTCAAGTCTTTTTGTAAAATAGAATTAAAAAAATAAAAATAAATTAAAATAATCTCCGTACATACATTGATAAAAGTTATAAATAATCAAGAAAATTTTTTTTGTATTTTTTGAAAGTTCTTAAGATTTTGTTTAGTGACTTAAAATCGCGATTCAATTTAGGCAAAACTTTAAAAGATATGACAATTTGAATTCGGTCTGACCCACCGTGGGTGGGTATCTCGTCCAGCGAAGATTAACACTGACTTAGCACTCACTTAACACTAAATTAACACTCACTTAACACTAAATTAACACTCACTTAACACTAAATTAACACTGATTTAACACTTTTGTAAAAAAGAATTAAAAAAATTTTTGAATCATCCCGGTTTTTTCCGTACATTCAATTACTAGTTGGTTTTGTATAAAGAATTATTGTAAGAAAAATTTTTCGTTTTTAATTCAAAAACTCAAAAAAACCTCAAAATACTAAGTTTCATAAGAATTTGTCGACCAGAATTTGTTGAACATTTTGGGACCACAGTATCAAAATAACATATGGAAGGGGTTAAGAAAACATTATGCAAAATAAAAATTAATTAAGATTTTGATTAATTGAAATAAGATTTAGTCCATGTGGCAAATTTAAAATCAAATTTAGATACGAATTAAAAATCAGACCATAAAAAATTAGAACAAAATTTACGTGACTCGATTTTTCCATTTGCGGAATGTCGGTAATAAGTCGGTGCAGTTTTCTACACCACAAATGGGGTTAAAAACAATAATGATCCTTAGAAATTGAATTTACAAAAATTACCCTTTTTTATCGACATAAGAAAAACCTATATATATATATATTTTGTTATTCTCCAGGTTTATCTCATTTTATAAAGCATCAATAAATCTATCGCATCAAGTTTCTTTGAGATGAAAGAAATTCTTTTACAGAGAGACGAGAACGAAAGTGGATGGTAAATGGCGAATAGCAGGAATCGGTCAAAATCACATTGATTTTAGAATTGGAAGCAAAGAAGAAGAAGAAGGGTGATGCTTCACTAACGAGGAATTCTGTGACCAAAGTCACCAATATATAAACAGGGACCAACTGTTGTTTGTCTTAATATATACATATACAAACAAGTGAGTAGCCGCCGCTTTTTACCGATATGAATTCCCAATTCCTCGAAGCGCCGGACCTATATATATATATATATAGTTGGCCCTCTCGGCACGGCGGCGTACCCATCGAATACATTAGCGATTCCTAGCGGGCGACGCGAATAATGAATGTTTCCGGTGACAGCCGACATTCGGGAATGCTTTGCGACAAACAATGCGGCTCTCTCTTCCTCTCTCTCTGTGTGTGTATCACTGCCGACTATCTCGTCCTCCTTTAACTGTCTCTCATTGCCTCATTCTCTCGCAACTCTTGATCACTCCCTTTCTCTTTTACCCACCTGTGTGTTGATAACATGCCGTCGAGAGTACTCGTTGTCACCCGAATTTCATTGATTCTAAATTCATGTCGATTTTTGTATAAAATATCTACAGTGACCGACACCCTTACTAACTTTAAATGCCATTTTATCGGAATTTATTAAAGATTCAGTTATAAAATAAACAAATAAAACATTTGCGTTAAAATTTATAGTACACAAGTTTAAAATTAAAAAAACTGATAAGATTTTATAATATTAATAAAAAAAATGTATGTTATAAAAACAGTGAAAGACACCCTCGAATAAAATAAAAAATATTTAAACTACAATTTACGCCATATTGGATCCGCCATTTTGAATTCCGAAATTCTGAGCACAGATTTGTACTCAGCGACCCCGAAAACCCCCGATTAACAGATTTTGAGCCATTTTGATTCATTTGTAAAAAAGAAAACATTCATAAATATACATACATTATTTCTACGTTATTAATTTTTAACTTTAAAGTGCTGTAGCTATAAAACTACTCATAGGATTGAATTTTGGCATAAGGATTTTTTGTTCAGAAAGCCTTAAACTACAAAACTACAGAGTTTCAAAAGATTTGGCTGAAAGACATTTTCAATTTAAAAATGCGGGGTCCTTTGTAATCAATAAAGTAAATTTTTTGAGGTTAGTTTTCTAGAAAGTAAAATATTGACGAAAATATACACATATAAAATTTTGTGTCAACTGTATCCGTTTCTAAATAGTGTATATTAATTAATTTACTAGTGATATTTCATTCAATATTATTAGGTTTATAGTTATTATCGTTTTTAATAGCAGGTGTCGTTCACTGACGTCGGTCACTGTACCTATTTTATACACAGAAAAAACTTGAACTCAAAGGGAGTAAGAATTTCGTACCTTAAATTGATACGTATTAAAAATGAAATTTGTCTCATTTCGAGTTCTATGGTAAAAGTATCAAAAATAAAACAGGCAATTTTCATTTTGAGAATAAGAAAAAGGCAAAATAACGAATAATTTTGCACAAATACATAAAATATAATTACCAGACGTAAATAACATGTTAGACTTTATATATTTGATTGAAAACTATAAGCTTGTAATCGCGTAATAAAATAATAAAGAAAATATGTTTTTAGGTTATAAAAATGAAAATATGTGCGTTTTGACAATAGAAACAGTACTGCCAACTTAATTAATAGCGGTAAATTTCAAAACTTAGGAAATTAATTATTATATTCTAAATAAATAATAACCGTCTACTTTTAAGTTAAAAATTTCTAAATATTCCTACTGAGAAAAATAATCTTTCTAGAAATCTGAAATTTCGGGAAGGATCATTTTGAGTAACATATGAAGTTTGGTCCCTTACTTATTTCGATACTCAACCCAAAATGAATTGCAACAAAAATGAGTTTAAGTTTTTTCTGTGTATACATAAATCGATTGTTTTGTTATCCGCAAAAATCATCATGTCAAGAATGACAAAAGGAGTCAAGCGCCATATATTTTCGAAATCGAAATTTTTTCGTTAAAAAATTAGGTAAATTCATTTACACATTTCTGTAAACGGATTTTATTTTCAATTGCATTATATTTTAAATCAGTTTTGAATAAATATTACAATCATAAAATAGCATCAAATTTAATTTATTACAATGCGATTGGAAAACAAAATAAAGTGGTAAATCAACAATATTATGAATAATTTAATAAGGTTAAAAACATTGCTTTTAACAAAACTAAAATAAATAAAAAAACCAGTAATAGACAAAATAATAATATTAATAATAAATTATTAATTTTTCAACTATTTTTATAATTATAATAATTGTTAAAAATTATATTTAAAAATTAGATATTTGCTCGACAGTATAGCAAGTTTAAACAAAGACAACAAAAAAGAATAAAAAATTTTTTTCAGGGGGTCCGGAACATTAAAATCAACCTTTATAGATGAATAGGTAAATAAACAAATTGCAATCAATTTAATTATCTTTTGGTTTTTCCAACCATATTGTTTATGGGCATTATTTATGTAAACATACAGATAGGGATGTAGGTATAAGGGTAATAAAATTTCAAAATCATTTCAACAACATTTAAAATTCTTGGAAATTAAAATTTCTTGAAAATGCAAAAGTATAAAAATTATAATAATAATAATGTTGTCAATTATTAATATTTAAAAAAGAGATTTAAATATTTTAATAAAATGTTGTGAAGAAATGGTTTTCTAAGTTTTATTTCAAATGATCATTAGAATTTTTAAATATTTTTTTTCACTTTCTGAAATACAATAAATTGGCGCTTGACTCCTTTGTTATTCTACCTTTTATATGTACATATGGGTCAAAATTTCTTTAATGATCCAATATAAAAACAGGGTATCCAGCGGTCAGGGAAACTTTTCAAAAATTTGCCAAAAATAATAATTTTTATGAATTTTTTTAAAAATTTTTTGGTGCAAGTTTATAATGCTAATAAATAAAATTTTTTAAAAATACAATATTTGATACTTTTCATTTTTTTTTTATATTTAAATATTTATTAAAGAAAAGTTGAAAAAAGGTTAGAAAAAAAAGTCGCGGGATTTTTTTTGGACTTTTTGCTGGACACCCTGAAAAAATGTGTACATTGCAATTTTTTGAAAAATCTTAACATATTATAATGTAGGGTAAATGTACCAATTACGGCGCGATTCGAGTAAAAGTACCTTTGAAATAGAAAATTCAACCATTTTTATTGTATAAAGTCAATTGAAGACTTATTAAACTAAAAGCTTATTTTATTTAGATATTAACAAAAAATGTAAACTTTATAAAAATCGATTATTTAAACAAATATGAGAAATTAAAATTAATATCGCAATTTTCTATTACGGCGCGTTTTTATCAGTTTCGGTGTATCAATTTTGGTAATCAAAATTACGTGTACATATTTTGAAGATACATACTGTGCCCGCCGTAATTGAAGCCAATGGGAAATCTTTAAAATGTTTCAATTACGGCGAGGGTAAATATATAAGTAATTGTATTAAAAATAGATTAAAATAATTTATAAACGCGCCGTAATTGGTACACTTATCCTATAAAAGACAAATAAAAATAAAGAAAATGGTCAAACCAAACCATCGAAATGTTGCAACTTGAAAAAATAACATAAATTTGTTATTTATGTTTCTTACCTTTTGTTGATTGAATTTTGCTTCTTATCAAAATATTGTATAAAAAGATGAACAAAATTTGGGATTATATGTTTTCGAAAGGTTTTTTTTTCTGTTCTTTCGAATGGTGCAAATTTTTTTTTTATCAAAATTTAACCCTTTTTTAAATCAAAAACGTGCATATATAAATTATTTTAAATAATATAAATTGTACAAAAAAAATATAATTTCAATTAAGTCCAAGAATATTAAAAAATATTAATAATTTCTTCCTGAGAAATAAAAAAATAGTAAAAATACTGAAAAATATGTATTTCTTTAAAAATTTAACTAGCTTTTAGAAAGATAATAAAAAATTATTCAAAAATATTTAAAAAATATTTAAAAAATATTAAATTATGTAAATCCTAGAAATGCACATATATTTAGGGTTTTAAAGGAAATTTAAAATTGAAAATTATTTCTTATTTTTAGGGTACAGGCGCAAACCGCGACAACTTATACTTTTGAAATTACCAAAGTTGAACGTTGTTAACCATTCATTTCAACGTTTCATGTTATAGGATAAAATAAACAAGGAAATTTTAAGGAGACTCCTTTACTTTTTGGAGCCATGTTTAGAGGAACATTCATCAGGAATAATATGGTTAAAAGGATAATGTTAACAACGAAATATTAGTGATAAAATATCTATCAAATAATGAAAATCAATGATAATAAATTTATTTGCCAGTGATACAGTTTGATATAAAATTACCCTTCTTAAATTTCTTTTTAAATAATTTTGATAAAATTTTTTTTTTTAATGTAAATGTAATTAATCAAAATTCCCTATTTTTTTAATGCTTTTTGTCGGTCAGTGTTCAATCTGAAGAAGAAAAAGAATGAAAGAAAGAAAAATAAATAGATTGTAAATATTTCAAATTATTTTAAACTATTTTCAATATAAAATTATATATATATAAAAAAAATCTTAAGATATTCAAAATACGGCATCTTTGATAATCTATACGATATTCTAAAGGGAATAGGTTAAAAATAAATACAAATAATAATTAATAAAATAAATAAATTTTTAATATTATAAGATTTAAATTTATGGACCTCATAAGAGCTGCATATTTTTTTCGCGTTTGTTATTTAAAAAGCTGCGATTCCTCAAAGGAGTTTCAATAGTTTGTAGTTTCATGCAAAAAAAAAAGATTCACTTAATAATTTTTAATCAATACTAGTAAACAAAAGCTTCAATAGTTAGTGGTTAGATAATAAATAAAAATAAAAAGTTGTTGGTATTCGCCAGCATATAAGTTGATCAATTGCTTTAATTCGTATTAAATTTTCGACCATGATAACTTTTATTGCTGATGTCTGCAGTCAATGATAGCTTAATGGACTAGAAACAAGAGAGCTTCGATTGCTGATTTTTCAGACTATGATAGTTTAATTGATGATAATTGCAGTCTTAATAGAACAATCAAGAACTAGTAATTTCAATCGAACTGTAAAGTGTCATCTTTGCTTGTTATTACAGACAATGATAGTTTCTTGCTGCTTTTTGCAGTTTTTTGATAGCTTTTAATGATTGGTTATATTTTTGTCATGAGAAATACTATACGGTGGTCCGGAATCGCCAAGACAATTGCGCATTTAATAGTTAGTTTTTCATTACGTATAAATTATTTTCCAAACGATACAAATTTATGTTTTATCAATACTTAAATTGTAATTAAAAATTTAGAATTTTTACAATTTTTTAAATAATTCATTTATCTCAAAATTAGTTAGTAATTTTTTATTTTCTCATTCACGAACACGTGCAAGTATAAAAATAAGACTTAATTTTTTTTCAACGGTACTAATGTTAACCATGAAAGTATACACACTAATAAATTTATGTTTCATACACATATGGGCAATTTATACCTAATATAAAGTATATAACGATTCTTTAGTAGAGGAATGTATCCATGAGTGATTTTCTAATTTTTATGAAACCAAATGCGAAATAATAAACTATTGATTTTACCTAATTAATAACACCGTAAAATCATTTTTAGTATGATATCCAATACTTTCTTAACTATACATTGTCGTCGATACGCGCTCCTTTTTGTGCTTTTTCATATTCTGTTGTTATAAAAACAATAATCTGTATTTTTGTGTATAATATCGCGCAGTACCAAATCTATATAAAAGGTATAAATTCTAGGTTCTACTGTAGAACATTTATTCCTTTATGTAATTTGTTTTATATTATTCGTATTATTATTATTATTTGTGTTAATTTACAGAAAAAACGCTGGGTAAATTTTGTTGCGGGTAATTTTCACCAATGCTAATTCACATAGACGGTGGCGCCCTCAACTAGGATAAAATTTGTTGCAGGTAATTTTTATACCGATTTTGGGGTAAAAATTCTACTTTTTTTTCGTGTGAAATTATTTGCATTACATTATTCGCATTCAAAGTAGTACATACGATTTTCGGTGCCAAGGGGACGACTTTTTGTGAGTGACAATAACCTGATCCATTTTTCTGTTATGCTCTTTATGACACTCAAAAAATATTAAGTTCGCAAAACGTAAAATTTTAAAAAGCATGAAAAATAAAGAAACTGACGTGAACTACATCTTAAGTAATGTTAAAATAAATCCAGTGCTCTTAAGCCCATTACGGTTGGACCCAAGATAACTCAGAGATCTTGTCAATAAAACAACGGATTTGCATGATCCAAATTGGAGATTTAAAGTGATGGTCTAGGCATTTCAAAAATATATGTAAGGGCAAAGATGGTTTAGTATAATTACCAACCAGAAGTTCAAAATATTTTTTCTTATTTAATGGAACATATCCCTAAACTAATTATGTAAATAACTATTTCTAAAAAGAAAATTTAATATAAATAAATTTATAAATAAATTTAGTTTTTTTAAATATATTGCACGAGTTTTTTTTGGCATTTGGCCACTTGTATACGTAGTACCCATGTACGAAAGGGTTTCCTTAATATACCCGTAAACTTTTGAAATAAATAATTGACAATGGTAAATTTTTGGTTTTCCGAGTATTATTTAACTTTCGGTTCAAAATTAGCGTTCCTAGACAACTGTGGGTACTTGTATAATTTAAGAATTAGTAATTATTAATTCTTTAACATCCGAGTACAATATATTTGAATTGGTTTCATAACAGAAACGATAACATTCGGACAAATCGATTTTAATAATATTTTCTCCAACGTTTCAAAATCACACTAATTTCCTCTTCAGGTAGTCCTATCAATATACGCAAAAATTATAAAATTAAATTAAAACAAAAAGAAGAATTAAGAAAAATTAAAAAATTTAAGAATTTAGTAATTTAATCCAATCATTTTTTTTGCTTCATGTACTGGTATTTACAGACAATGATAACTTCTTGCTGATTTTGAAGACTATGATCACTACAGTTGTTGCTTCTTACAGTCAAGTTGTCTACAAGAGCTGCGGTTTTTCAAACAATGTCAACTTCAGTTGCTGGTTATTACAGACAATGCGATAACTTCAAGAACTGCCAACAGAGGCTTCGATTGCTGATATAGTCTTTGTCAATAATACCTTCAACTGTCGGTTACAGAAGTTACTTTCAATTTTTAACAGTTCAAGTCAGTGATGTTTTCAGTTGTTTGTAGTTATAGTCAGTAGTTGATAGTTTCAGTCAATGTCTGCTTCATAAGAGCTTTCATCAATAATTACAAATGAAAACTGTCATAAAGTTACATTTTAAGTTATTACTTATATTTGTTTAAAATTATTACTTTTGAAGCTATGTTTACCAATATTTTTATTTTTTCTTATCATTTAGTATTATTTTGTAAATTATAAACATATTTATATATATTCTGTAAATACCTTTTAGATATTTTTCATAAATGTATGCGCTATAAAATCTAATTTTTTTTTTAAATTTATTTTTAATAAATTTTTTTTTAAATTGTAAGTCTCGCGAGAGACGTAAGGTGGAGTATTTTGATCCTAATAAATCATAATTAATTTTTCGCGTTTTTCAAATTTTTGAAAAAACGTTGTTAGTTCATATATTTTAAAAAATGTCGATATAGTTATTTTTTTATATAGCATAAATTAATGACAGTATCCGTTAAAAATTCTTAATAAAATTTTTAATTCCCGAATATTGAATCAATAGCATTTCTGCCGAAAGTATAAAAATTATTGATTCAAAGGCATATGCTATAAAATTTGTAAAATATTTTATAGATTCTATAGCATATGCTTTTGAATAAATAATTTTTATACCTTTGCCAGAAATGCTATTAATTTAATAGCATATTTTTCTCAGTGTATATAAAAAATATTTATCCTAATTAATTTTCAATATCTTTAACCTATTACTATAAAATATATTATTAATTTTTTGCTCCGGATCTTAGTAATTTTTTTTTTTAAATTGATTATTTTTGTTTAAACAAAGACAACATAGAAGCACAAAAAAAATTTTTTTAGGGGGTCTGGAACATAAAAAAAACCCTGTATATTTGAACGGATATATAAATAAATTGCAATCAATTTAATTATCTTTTGGTTTTTTTAACCACATTGTTTATGACCTTCGCCTTAATAGAAATTATTTATGTAAACATACAGATAGGGATGAAGGTATAAAGGGTAATAAAATTTCAAAACTTTTTCAACAACATTTAAAATTACTGGAAATTAAAATTTCTTTAAAGTTCATAGTATAAAAATTATAATAATAATTTTGTCAATTATTAATATTTAAAAAATATAAATTTTTTGCTTCATGTAATTTAACAAAAAATATGCAAATAGTTATATATTTATATAGGGCATTTTATATCAATGTATCACTAACAAAAACTATCCTTCATAGAGCATTCTTAAAACAAATTTTTTTTTTTTAAATATTCTTAAATATGAATTTGAAGGATAATTTCGTATTTTTGAAGTTAGAATTAACCTTTTTTTTAAAAATAATTTTGAAATGTTATAAAAAAATTTGATAGAAAATACAATTAAATCTACACGTAAAGAAAAAGTATTAATCATATTTTAATACAAAAACTAAAAAATTGGACATCATTTTTTTGAAACGGTTAAAAATTTTTTTTAACACTTTTTCTTTCCGTGTAATTATTATTGAATAAAAAAATATGTATCTCCGACCTTAACCTGCAAAACAGCGGATGTATCTTCTTCTTCTTCTTCAGATGAGAATATCTTCTTGTAACACACACGTGATTTTAAAAATTTTGAACACTCCCGAATATACATTTAATTTTAGAAACAAAATACTTTCTTACTGATTTAAGCGATCGCGATTTAAAAGATTTCGAACACTCCCGAAACAAATATTTTACTAAAATATAAAAAAACATAATTTCAACACTAAAAAATGACTTCGTTTATAAAATAAAAGAATCGAGTACTCCCGAAGCTATGTACTTCAAATCTGAAAATAAGAAATAAAACACAGATTAAAGATGGCTACCCTATTCTTCACAGAAAAATAATTATAAAATTCACACTTAAACTGACTACGTTTGAACAGGTCAATACTTGAATTGGAAATGAATTAGTTATTATTTTTATTGAATTGTCTGTTTTCATTATTATAACCTTCGGTTTATGATACCCCTTTGTAATATATATAAATATACAGTTCGCATTGCAGGTAAAAGGGTAATAAAATTCCAAATACATTTCGTCAAATTTTAAATACTTGTTGGAAATTATAATATAAGTTTTAAAAATATTACATATTTCACTGATAGAATTATATTTATAGGATTCTTAAAAAATAAAAAGTAAAGATTTTGTGAAATATTATTTTACAAAAATAAATTGTTGCAAAAAATATATTATTAATTTATTGATCCGATTCACAATTTTTATTGTTTTCATTGTAAAAAAAGTTTTAAAAAAGTTTAAAAAAAGCTGCCTATTTAGGTTAAATGTGAAAATATATAATATATTTACAGGTTGTTTTTTTTTTGCTCCGTAATTAATGAATTTTTTCTTTAAATTCATTATTTTTGTTTAAACTACGAAAATAAATAAGAATAAAAATTTTTTTTTAGGGTTTACGGAACATGAAATTCACTCTGCATATTCGAACAGATATATAAATAAATTACAATTTTTTTAATTACCTTTTCACTGAAAAAAAATTCTGGTTAGGCTATATTTAACATTACTTTCTAGTTATGTTAAGGGGTTTCCTAAATTTTTTTGGTCAAAAAATTCTAATTTTTTTTTTTTCATTTTTTAATAGGAAAGTATGTTAAGAATGTGTGGTTAAATCATTAGATCATAATTCGCTCATAATCTTAAGTTATTTAACAATATATATATATATATATGCGTCTACAGATCGTATAATTAACCCTTTCGTGCCCACGATAAACCGAGCGAATGGATTTTCTTGAAATTCGTTACTCGGGGGTTATTGGGGTCTCTGATTACGAATTTAATGTCAGATTTTAAAAATTCAAAATGGCGGAACCAATATGGCGGATGAGTTTTTAAAAAATGCTTGGATTTGCTTGAAATTTACTACTTGGGGGTTTCTGAGGTCGATGATTACAAATCTGAAGTCATATTTTAAAAATTCAAAATGGCGGATCCAAGATGGCGGACAAATTTAAAAAATGCTTGGATTGGCTCAAAATTCTTACTTAAAGGGTTTATGGGGTCGCTGATTATGAATATGATGACAGAATTCGAAAATTCAAATATAAAAAAGATTTTTTGGTTTGCTGATAATAAACCCGATATGGTCATGGACACAGTACGGACAATTCATCATATTCATATCATTTCATCATTTTGGAGCAAATCCGATTAGTTTTAAAATTTTCGTCCGACATATTGGATCCGCCATTTTGAATTTTTAAATTCTGACATCATATTCGTAATCAGCGACCCCAAAAACCCTCGAGTACCAAGTTTAGAGTAAATGCAATTAATTTTTTACTTTCATGTCCGCCATATTGGATCCGACATTTTGAATTTTTCAAATGTTAAATATACCCTAACCAGAATTCTGGTTAATCTAACTAGAATTCTGGTTATTCTAAATGGAATTTTTTTTCAGTGTTGGTTTTTCCAACCACATAGTTTATGACCTTTGCCTTAATAGAAATTATTTAAGTAAACATACAGATAGAGATGAAGGTATAAGGGTAATAAAAATTTCAAAATCTTTTCAACAACATTTAAAATTACTGGAAATTAAAATTTCTTGAAAGTTCAAAGTATAAAAATTATAATGATAATAATAATTTTGTCAATTATTAATATTTAAAAAAAAAAACTTTTGATTCATGTAATTTAACAAAAAAATAGTATAATAGTATAGTATTAAGTATTATAATATTATATATTATATTATATAATATTATAGTATTTAGTTTATTATTATAATAGTATTAATCTTTTTGTTAAAAAAAATTTTGATAAAATATGCAATTGAATCTGCACGTAAAGAGAAAGTATTAATCATATTTTAATTAAAAAAAAAACTACAAAAATTTTTCCATAATTTTTTTGAAACTGTATTAAAATATTTTTAACACACTTTCTCTTAGCGTACAATTATTATTGGTTATAAAAAAAAATATCCCTGACCTTAGCCTGCAACAGCGGATGTATCGTCTACTTTAGACGAGCGAATATCTTCTAGTAACACACGTGATTTAAAAAAATTTCAACACTCCCGAGTACACATTTAATTTAAGAAACAAAATACTTCCTTACAGATTAAAGCGATCGCGATTTTAAAAATTTCGAACACTCCCGAAACAAATATTTTACTGAAATATCAAAAAAAAAAAAAAAAAAAATTTCGTCACAGCAAAATTAATATAAAATTAACATTTAAACTGAACACGTCAATGCTTGAATTGCAAATGATATAATTATCTTTAGGATTGCCGGTTTCCATTATTCTAACCTTCGCGGTTTATGATACCCCTTTGTAATATATATATAAATATACATATAGCTCGCAATGCAGGTATATAAAGGTAATAAAATTCCAAATTCGTTTCGTCAAATTTAAAATATTTATTGGAAATTATAATATTTAAAAATATAATTTTACTGATAGAATTATATTTATGATTCTTAAAAAATAAAATGCGAAGATTTTGTGCAATATTAATGAAATAAATTTTTTACATTATGAAATTTAAAAAAATATTAGTTGCAACATATAAATTTGGCAAACTGGTAAACGAAAATTTTGCACATTAATGTGTATTTTTTGCTAGTAATACCTATTTTTAAAAATCTGTTTATTCTCAGTGGTCTAATAAAAAGCATTAACTTTCCATTGAATATATTTTCCAAAATTAACCCCTTTACAGTCCAGTAGAAATAGCGTTTGTGGGTCCAAAAAAAATTTTTCCAAAAAAATATCATATCATCGTATTAAAATTTTTTTGTGTCGCTGAATCCAAATTTGAGGTCAAATTAAAAAAATTGAAAATGGCAGACCCGCGATTCGGCGGAAAAATTTTAAATTGATTTAATTTGTTCAAAATTCGGTACTTAGGGGTTTTTGGGCACTCTGATTCCAAATTTGAGGTCAGATTTTAAAAATTCAAAATGTCGGACCCAATATGGCACCCCAATATAGCGGAAAAAATTTAAAATTGATTCGATTCGTTCAAAATTCGGTTTTTTGGGTCGCTGAATCCAAATCTGACCTCAAATTTGGATTCAGCGACCCCAAAAACCCCCAAGTACCAAATTTTGAACAAATCGAATCAATTTTAAATTTTTTCCGCCATATTGGGTCCGCCATTTTGAATTTTTTAAATCTGACATCACATGTGGATTTAGCGACCTCGAAAACCTTAGTATATCCATTGACACTCAAATCGAATTATATTTAGTATTTTTTTTCTAATGTGAACATATATGTCCAAACTCACAAAGGTGTCACGACTTTTTTCTGGACAAATATGGACCATGAACTGTCAAAGGGTTAGCAAAGCCTCGTTTATAGAACTATAAGTTAGAGAAATTTGAGATTTCTTCTTTAGAGTACATTGTAAAGTACATAATCATGATCAATAAAAGGTTTGAAATACCAAATGATTATATAAGAATACCCTATACACGGAACTATATATATATATACATACAGCATATTTAAATGACAGTGAAATGGATGTTAAACATGAACTTAGAGTAATTCTTTTTTCACCTGTGCTGGAAAAAAGCACTAGTGGCCTCGAGTTATTTATTCACTTCTCAGCTCACAAAAAAAATATATATAGCTTGTCAGAAAACTGGGTGTACAAAGTGGAAATAACTCGGTAAACTGATTCCTTTGAAAGAGTTTCAACGACTATATAGTAAAATTCTCTCGCGTATATACCTATATATATATATATATAGTTTCGCAGAAAAGTGAGTTCAATTGGTATGTATATTATACGACTTGAAATTGAACGTGGTGGTGATAATACAATTTTCCTCCTTAGGGTTTTAAAAAAAAATTTTTTTTCTCTTTGTTATGTGGAACGGTAAAATACAGCCGCTGTTATTTTATGAGTTACGGGGGTGAGGTTGTAAATTTTATCAGCGCTAGTTCCTTTTGCTATATATATATATCAGTATATAATTTTCAGTCCCCACAGAAAGAGAGTAAACAAAACCTCTAATAATTGACATTATTTTTTTTTAATTATTGCAACAAAAGGGTTTAGCAAAAAAAAAACTGATCGTCATCTTCATGGAGAATTCCGGCTTCATATTTGATATAATTGCTATAGCAACTTCCGGTCAGCAAGAAACTTTATCTTTTAGCACACTCGGCGGCTCATTGTCGCCAGTTAATCATAGGCTTATTATTGTCTCCTCTGTAATGGTGAATGGTAGACAGCGGCTTCTTTCTAAAAGAATGATAAATTTTTCGCTTTCGATATTGGTCATACCTGAAAGTCATGGGTTCTATTAGCACACAGGTAAATATATAGTACAAGTGCACACATCGGGACCAACTGTGTAATTTGAAGGTAATTCTCCGAGTCGTATAAACAGCAATGTAACCAGTTCGAGGAGTGCATCAGTTCACTGCAGCTCGTTTCGTTTAATTGGTCGTTTCTGGGTTTACGAGGTTTTGCCTGCGCTCAGAAGGTATATTAACTTCCAAATAGGAGGCGAATCATCCACTTTCCCGGATATTCCTCCTTCAAATCCTTACTCAGTCTAACCGGACTTCAGTAAGGGATAATAAAGTTTCAAAAAAAAAAATTATCCAGATTCTTGACTTGATAAAAATCAAGTAATTTTTTTTTCATGACACTACCGCAAAAGGCGCTGATGATTTTCCAATGCACTGTAGTTATTGAAATCGATTAATAAAGATGATGAAGTTTTCCCAACGCGATTAAGTTATAGGACGCCACCGCGAGAGGCGCTGTTGATTTTTCAATACAC